AGAGGATGTGCTAAGCATAGCAAATGAGTTGCTCGGACTCCACTATTGCCATTTCAGTCTAACACGCGCTACTCGGCGTGCAAGCACAATCATGTTCTGCGCCGTTGACATTTTGCACTGCGTAGCCCTGTACGGATGTGTCTCTGCCAGCGACTTGCTGACATGACCGGAATAGATAATTATTTGTGTGTACGAGTGTGTAGTACGTACCGTACTCTCTGTGTTCCTTAGCTTTTGCGTATGGCGCCCAATTGGGTTTTCCGTACTTGCGCGCCTCAACTTTATTTACTGTGTTGTATTGCTTCTGTTGCATTTCTGGGGACCTTTCTGGCGCCCCTTCCCAAACTCCCTTACACATACGTATACACATAAGTGCAAAACTAATTCAATTTGGTCTTTGCCAGCGCCTGGAGTAAAAGGGGATAGGCAAGCCCGTTCCTTGGGAAGACAAGCTGTAATGCAGTGGAGCTTTATGTCAGTGTGCTGGGAGGGATGGATGGATGAAGACAGGTCTTACATATAGATACACACTTATGAAGAGTGCTGAAATATTGATTATTGGAATGTGTTTTTTATGTAGGTGATGTTTTTTACGTAAAATAAATAATTACAAACTCAAGCTTTCTATACCTCCAGTGAATTAATTGTTATAAAAAACTTTAAACAGAAATTTAAAAAGGCTTTTTAAGACAAGAATACATAACTATACAGATTTAAAATTATTATCTTCAAATCTTTTTACTTTGTTTAAATTAAGAAAGTTCAAAGATTAAAGATGTTTGGGTTAACTAAAGATTTCTTTAGTATTTGAATTTGACAGTAATTTTCAGCTTGATCAAATCAAATTGCAAATCTATTTCTGCCGATTCTGAACCTTTACGTGCTTCCAGGAAGATAGCCCTGCTTTGAATATTGAGACTGCTTACCTCTAATATGGTTAAAGCTCGTACACTTACAGGTACTTTTGCTCTTTCTTATTTTCTGCATTCTTTTTATTCTCTGTTTGTCTTCAAGAAATGTTCAAGGACTGACAGTAAAATAAATTTTTTATAAAATTGTATTATGTTAAGGGACGCCCCTTTTTCATCAACCGTCGCCTAATGCGATTTGCATGCCTTAAGTTTGGGGGCAGAGAACCCACTCACGAAATTGCTCTGGCTGTACTCGTATTTTCACAGCTCCTTTAAATTTGTTTCGGCAGCTTGGCGCTTCACATAAAACGCAATGTAGCTTGGTGTTTTATGGGTTCACTGCTGCATGCGATGATGTGTTGGCAACTCTGGCAGTTAGTTTGACATGACCGTGGTGCGTTTATATTGATGTATAACTAATGGTTGGTCGCATCGTAAAGAGAGTACTTTATGTGCACACGAGAAAAACAAACATTAAGGTTAGCGAGGGGATATTTACACATACACTATAAATATAAATCCGCCTTAAAGGGAACGGCATGTCTGAATTAAAGTCAACTATAACATTGACAACTCTCTTAACATGCCAGACTTGGTCATATTTTCTTAAATTTCTAGCTAACAAAATGTGGATTCTTACACGTTCGCCATCTCAAAAAATATTCCCCCTTGTTGTAATTGCCAATTAATGACACTTAAATGCCTACACGTACCTAAAGTGACCCAGACATTCGGAAAAAGTTTGCCCAAATGCCAAACCATAAACACAAATAGCAGCAGCAGCTACAGTTGGGGCAACAGCAATCAAATGGTCATAAATTGTCCGCCAAATGTCGTAAAGCCTAGGCCTGACCGAACGTCTCCCCTAAAGCTAAAGCCTCTGCTACAGGTAATTACAAAACCATAACGCGCAAATGTCACCGCAAAATGTGCGGCCAATGTTTTGACCATCATTGAATGGCAACAACAGTAATAACAGCAACAAGCGTCGAATGTTGTCAGCAAATCGTTTGTTGTTTTTATGTTGCATAATTTTTGGCGCAGTGCCGTACAAAAAACTGCGTGCCAGGTCAATTGTGCGTATGGAAATCGGTTTGTTTGCCACAGAACGAAAATCACGTTCAGGTGGCATTACGTTTGGGATTTGTGGTCAGGGGTCCAATTCGGGCTCAACTGCCAAATGAAGCGAAAACGGCAATGGACAGTATGTATTCAAGATACTCGTGGAGTGTTATCTGAAAAACTGGAAAGTGAAGGGCGAGCGCATTGCAAAACAACAAAGTTTTAGGAAATTTAAAAAAGCAAACTTGTAATACGAAATAAGTGAGAGAACTTGTATACCAAATTTGTTGCCGCTAGATTCAATATTTTCCAAAAACCAGTCGTTCAGACATGCAGACAAGGAAATGTCATCAATATTGCTGCTTAAGCTTTAAATTTTCCCGCTGCCATCTCTATTTTCATCGCTTTAAAACCTTTTTAATTAACGCATTGGTCCGCTGACCAGAAATCCGTAAATAAAATTCTTAACATTTTCCACGCACATTTCCCTTATTGTGGCCGGCAATTATGCGCACAAAGATACTAAACAAAGTGCCCCAAAGTATCCTCCAACAGTTGCCCATCACGCATCCACAGCTCGAACAAATTGCCAACAATTCAATTCAACCCTTGCGATGCCGCCGGGATAAATGCAACAATTGGTTCTCACTGGGCGCTATCAATTTATGGATAGGTTTGGGGCTGAAGGCACCCTTTTGTTGGTTCAACCTAATGCCACAGGCAGCGAGCTATCTGTAGTCTACCACAGACCCTCAGACACAACACACACACAACACACACATTTGAATGAGCGAGATTGAATCCGAAGCAAGCCATCGTGCTATTCATTAAGTGTCTGGCATTTCAACGTTTTTAATTGACAATCAAAGTGTGAGGGACGAGAAAGGTTTTTGTGCTTGCCGCACTGACACCAAATTTGATTAATTCACTTGATGGCTGGAACGTTTGGCCGCTTATCCTGCCAGTCAGTCTGCACAGAAATTGCTGCTGGCATTCCTCTCTAGTCCCTTGGCTATGTACTAGATTTCCTTCTGCAATGGTCCGATTTGATTGTTTAGCAATATTATAAAGTGTGAGCAGCTTTTATGACAAAGTCGTCTAATAAATAAAGTGTCTTGTGGCTCTTCTCGTCTGATAGTCAGTTGGCTGGCAGTTCATTTTGTGAATGGTCGAAGCCAAGAATGTAGATGCTCGGTTAGGTTTGAAAGCAAATCTGATTAGTAAGATAATGTCATCAAACGAATGCAGACAACAGTTTTAAAGGTAACCTTAAACCACAGTGCTATGCTTATTGTAGTATGTGGAAGCATTTATTAAGGAAAGCGATTTAGTTTTTTTACAACACAAACCTCTCATTGCTATGAGAATTCAACTGTGATGGGATTTACTATCCCAACTAATTCACAATAGAAAAGTATTGTTCATTGCTTAATCATGGTATTTAATTATTAATTGTTATGTTTTACAATATTGTTCAAATAATAAAGCCACTTAATCGAATACAGTTTGACGTTAATATAACTAAGCTCCCTAATGCAGTTAATTAGTACATTTTTTATTTGCATTGAACAAAAAAGTGATAAAATTATGTGGCAGCTTTATTAATTGGAATTGGTTGATTGACATTATGTGGAGAATATACATAAATGAACAGCAGAAATAAATAAACCTACCTATACTTACATGTTTGCCTATTTCTGTTTTCTGAAATCAATAAAAAAAATAGGCTGTTTTTCTATTAAAAGCAACAAATAAATAAATGACTGGTCGAGCTGGATTCAAGTCGATTTTATTCTTAAAAGAAAGCAAAGTCTTTCAGATTACAAAAACCAACAATGTTTCAAACACGCTTCTGTTTTATAAAAAAAAAAAAACATGAACCACACGTGTGGAGTGTTTGTTCCCACTCATTAAGTATGCTTTAATTGGCCGCAAGCAACAGTCGTCTACGCATTTAAACAACCATTAGAAAATCCATTTGTAATCCACACACAACTACAATGAAATCAACGTAAAGTGCGCGGTTTGCCGCACAAGTTGCAGCAACGCGTATCATTACAAGCCTCAACTGTGAGTGCGCCTAAAATGTTGCTCGACTTTTCACCCACATAGACCCACACACACTCACACAACTACTGAGAAGAGGAGAGAACGACCAACTAGTGCTAAAACTAGTTAATAAACGTCCGTTTGCAGCAACAAATGTTGTGCCATGCCTTTGGCAGTTGCTGCCGCATGGCTGCCACTTTTCAGTCGCAGACCAAGCGCTAAAATAAAGGGAAATCGTTATCATTATATACTTGTTCACATAAGTTTGCAAGTATGTATGTTTGTTGCAAGCACACAAATAACAAAAAGAAAATACAACTGCGCACACACTTTTGCGAAAGTTTATTGAACCGGAAGTTGTGCGCTTTTCTGCCGCGGTTTTTCAATGCGTCGTGAAATGCGGCAACAATGCACACGACAGGCATCAGGCCTTCGGCCTCCGAGTTCGACTATTTGTTTGTTCGTCTGCCTGTCTGTCTGTCTGCCAGCTGTCTGCCAAGTTAGTGGTAAGGTTTTATTTCTGGACCGTCAATCATAATTGCCGGTCCAAGTGCAAGAGTTCCCTTTAGGTCCGCTTGTTTAAAAGAAAGCAAATAAACAAACGCCTCAAGACACATTTTTGATTTTGGCTTCAACTATGCAATGATATTTTTGTGCTTTTTTTCCGGGCACCCATTTTTGATTATTTATTCATGTGCCCAGTCACTACTGCAGTAGCAAGTCATGTGCGAGCCTAGCCGGCTGTCACTTTAATGGGTCGTTGTTGTCGTGCACCATGGAATAGAATACGAAATGTGCAGGCAAAAATAAAATTGTTCACCGTTTTAAAGAATACTTAGCTGCATTCAAACCAAAGAGGTTCCCTAACTTTTTTCTGCAACCACATTCCTCGTAACCCTTGTAATTGTAATGCAGAAACTGTATTTTATTTTCAAGCCTTCAACAAACATTGTGAAGTTTGCGTTGAATTTTCCTTAATCATACAACGCCAAATTCTAGCTCATAGCGATTGCTATCCAACAAGTGGTCCGTACCATATGAATGCAGAAGTTGGAACTCGTTTGCCACAACCAAAACGAGAAACAATATGTAGATGATAATGCCAAGCAGACCGACATTGCGACGCAACATAAAATTGGTGGTCAATGCATAAAGGACATTTGCAGAGCAGCCAATGATAACCAGAACCGAGGTGTTCTCACCTATAGTGCCTTCAGTGTTCTGGCAAAAGATTTCCATATGTTTGATTGCCATTCAAATTATTGTAAGAAGTACTTACAAGTGTGACTCCCGTGGGCGAAACGATTGTCTTGTACAGTAGCGGCAGGGCAACAGATACAAAGCAACCTGCAAAATAAATAGCATTATGGATAATACTATATATCTGGGGTATATATGGGACGCCACTCACTAAAAACAGGCGCGCCAAAGCAGGCGGCATAAGCCATACGCGGATATCCCTGACGTGCCAGAGCCAAGTTGGTTATCAAGTCGCCGAGGCCATTACCCCACGTAAAAAAGGTGCAACCGATGAACTTTTCTGATTATTCAGATGATCTTTAGGGTACCACAAACAAGTGCTTACTGTGTTGCTGCGCTTCAGGGCCAATCCTAGGGTCTCCAATACGACTATAATTTCCCGAGCCACTGCATAAATAACGAACACACAGGAAATAATGCTCATTATTGTCATGTAATGGTACCAATCTGGAATAACATCGACCCGCGTGTGCAGATAAGCATAAACACAGAGCGGCACGCAGACCACTGCAACAACAATGAACACCGGAATGTTCAAGAATAAAGACTTAGTCTGCCCTGCAGAGGAGATATACTATAAGTAAGCAAATAAACAAACACCATGGTTGTCGAGCTCACAGAAGGCAAAGGTCACAAAAGTGGGCGTCAGCACGAACTGGAGGGAGCATAGAAGCTTGGACCATTGATATTCGCTGTCCTCCAAATTAATGCGCGGTATTAGCAGACGGAGAATGAACGTGGGAATCCATTGAAGGACTATGTACAGCTGTACTACGTGGCTCCTCTTCTTAAAAGTCGCACAATGCAATGAGTTCAGAGCCTGGAATAACTGCCACCACAAATGCTCTTCTTTTGGTGGAGGATCATCATCGAACATTCCCATAGTCGACTTGTAGGCTGGTAGGCGTTGCGCTTCTTCCAACATGGGAATCGGCTCGTCTGATACTTTCTCCGCCTCCATTTTGGCCGCTTGGGCCATCAACACTGAAATGAAAATAGTATTATATTGAAATTGCTTCATAAAATCTTCTTAGGGTAGATATAAAACGTACACCGGCGCTTCCGTAATAGCAAATATTGATCAACGATAATCACCAGAATATAGACAAGGTAGATGAGGGACATACAAATACTGTCGACAAGTCGTATGTTGTTTTCGTTGGCCTTAACCACATAATCCACATATATAGTGTATAGAAGCACAAAACCGGAGTCGCGCAAAAAAAATGCCGGTTCAATGCTGAAAGGCCGTGTATATACAATGACACCGGCCACGAATACACTCACAAACAAAGTGGCCGACGACGTCTCCGTATATATGTGACGCGAATCGCTCCACAGACCCACTATGCTGGTGAAAAAATCGGGCGCCCCATTGCCAAAAGCCAAAATTGTAGCTCCCGCCACATTCTCGTTCATATGCAGCATTCTACAGACCTCGGTAAGTGCCGGACAAAAGCTGTAAAAATCTAGGGATAGTAATAGCCAATAGCCGATCTTCACTCACAATTGAGCCGTCGTGATGGCCTCCAACCAAAACTGAAAAATGCAAATGCCGATCAGCAGCGCGATGCCCAGAGTACGGGACACGTCATTGGAGTAAAGATTGCAGTAGTAGAAGGAAGTGTATTCGAATATATACACGTGCTCCAGGCAGGCAGTCTTCGCGTGATTGCAGCGATTTTCCAAATTCAAAACATTGATTAGTCCGCACGTGCTCTGCGAAATGGGAAGCGGACCTCAGTGGGAGCCTAGATGGCAGGAACTCGACAGAAGCCAACTTACTTGGCTGATTGGCTTGGCAAAGTTCAAGTGCGCCTCAAAATGCGGCGATGTTTGATTTGTGGTGTTAAAGTTTTCGTAGAGTTGGGCCATGCCTTGAAATTTTCTGATTCAGAATATTTTATTTAGATTAAATTTGTTTATGTATTAATTTGAAAGCCTTCTGAGACACGCCCGCATATACATTAGTGGCGAGGCATAACCGATACATCGATCACTTTTGAGCCCTAACTGTACACCTAATTTCAAATGTAGACTTGTCTTATTAATAAACGATCCATATTATACTGCCATTGGATCGGTAATGATATGACAGTCCGCTAAAATTGTAAATATTCATTTCTATTTAAGTATAGTCTTTCAAAGTTATTTTATACACAAACTTAAGACCCTTTTTCCCAAAGAGTAAGCCCCTCTTTTCCGTTTTGCATCCAAACAGAAAAAAAAATTCTTGGTGCTAATCTCTAATCTGATCTGTAAACAGTTTATAGATCATTATATGGTCTTTCAAGAAAAATAAGTTCTTTCCAAATCAAACAATGTTCTATGCAAATATTTAAATTTTTCTAAAGGGTTTATATAATTCGATGAATGTTTATAGAACGATTATAGAATGTTACCAAAAAATCTTCTTTAGAATAGAGTTATATTTTAAATTTGTAAATATTCTTCCATTGTGCGGCGTTATGCGTTCATTGCGTTTATTGTTTTTGCTCGCGTCTGGCGCGCAGACTGGGAGAGATGCCGAAGTTGGTGCAGAGTAGAGTCTGGTGCTGGGGCTGTTGCCCCTCGAGGGCATGTAATTGTTGTTTAAGTGATGCAAATGAGCGTTCCTATGTCTCAGCCCCGTTCATACAACCAAAAAAGCAGCAGCAGCAGCAGCAACAAACATGCCGCAGGCGTGGCGAACTCCACTTGCCTCCACTTCACTTCGCTTCATTTCGTTTCGTTTCGTTTGAAGTGAGCAAAAATGTTGCTGGAAAATATTTTACCAAGGGCTGCTGTTTCTGTTGCTGTCAGTTTAGGGGAAGGGGGGAAAATGGCGCACCCTTCTCCTTCATTGCTGTTGTCATTCGCTTAATGGGGTCAAAAATTGTTGGGCTGGTGATTTATGTGAGTTGTACTTGAAATTTTTGCATGGCTATGTCGCTCGAGTTAAAGTTTATTAAAATTGATTGTCAGCTGTCTGTCTAGCCCATTAAATATTTAAAGCCCTGCAGCCAAATGCAATTTAGTTTTATCAATAAAGGGTGTTGGCATTTTATTTGTATTACCATATACATATACTATATAGTCTGTAAAATCAAAATTGCATTCAATTGTTGTTCGGCCAAAAACCATCGGTCCATTGGGACAGCATTACAAAAAACAGTTAGCGCGTGTTGACAAAAAAGCACGTACATTGCAGCTAACTTGTTAATGAAATTTCATTTGTTGACATGTTTGTGTATTGGCAGCAGATTGTTTGGAAGCTGTAATCAACGCCAACAGAGGCAGCATCTGTTTCTCTTTTTGTGCAATTCATTATTGATTGGCATGCAAATTTAATTTGTAAAGCTCTTTAAAAACGCGCTATTATCTCGCAAGCTCTCTCTTAATAAATTATATATGGATATACATAATATGTTTATATATCTAAAACACGAGTATATATATATAAAGTAAAGTTGCAAAGTGGTGTAACACTTTTATTTAAAAACCACTCGACCAGTTTTGATGAAACTTGTATGGTTTGTTAGGACACATGGTTATGTGGTTTGTCTAAAGTTTCTCCACTTTGTCCGATAAACAGAACCAGAGCGTGAAAACTAGTTTTCCAACTAATATGGGCGGCATTGTTATTTCCTATTTCTGATCATTGTTGTACGAGTATTATCTTCGGCGAGTTCAGTTTTAAAATACAGACAAAAAACGATTGTTGTTATTGCTGCTAACTAACTACCCTTAACAAGTATTCCTTTAAGTATTTGGAGCGGTTCGTTTCAATTGACAGCCAAAACAGAATTTTTCGTAGACTGAGAAGATGAAAAAAATCAACGAGAAAAATAATAAGAAGAATCAACAACAATTACAAGTGATGTACGGTGTAGTGGAGCCCCGGAGATTGCATGTAGCAATATAAAAATGTAAAATAGATATATAAATATTACTGTTTTTAGTGTACTATACTATATTAATGAACATGGCTTACATTATCTTCGAAAGAGTTTGGCTTTAGCTTTATTGCCAGCTCGAGTTCCGCTTAGAGAATTAATATCTTAATCCTTTAACCAACTTATTTATTTCAATTCCACCTTGGGAATCGTATTAAGCTTTACATCTCAAAAATTATTAAATGTAAAATTTGATAATTTTAAGGCTTTGAATTACATTAATACATAAATAAATGTCCTCTGGTAACTCGGAAGCATTTTGCTAAACATTATTATTATTTTTTTTTATATAATATCAGATATTCTGTTGAAGCAGATTACGGCTATCCGTTAGGTTTGTGACGTTGTTTCCCATCTAAAATCCCCTTATCGCACTCATATTTTCACAATTTCTGTGCCCATCCCCACTTAAGCAATGTCGCAATAATTTCTCAATACGAATCTATGGCACCCTAGTGCCTGAGTGTAACATTTTAAAATCTGCGCAAAAAGTAGTCGAAGAAACAAAGGCGACTACAATGCGAGCACAACACGAGCGCGCCCTGAGGGTAAAGACAAAACACATGTTCTAGCTACAGACCAACAACAATAATGGCAAATGGTGGAAAAAGAGTATATTTTACGCTGCATTGGCGACAACAAACATATGTCGCCGGTCGCTGTTGTCGACATCATCCAACGTTGGACTCAGGCGAGCGAGGAGCAAACATAAGTCCATGCCCAAAGGGGTCGTTTGCACGCAAGCGGGACACGGGCCGCGGGCCGGGGGCTTAGGCAAGGCAGTCAAGTATGAAATATGCGTGTGCATGTCTGCCTATATACATGCATACAATATTGCACATATCAGTTTTACAGCATTTATACAATACACATACATATACACATATATACATATTGATAAATTGCTGTGCACTTCCCACAGACACACATCCACACACATTTCGAAAGCCACAACAGCAACGTCATTAGTGGCTGGATCGTTGGTAGACCGCCAACGACACTTGTAATAAAAATCAATTTTTTAAATTGTTACCCAAACCAACCATTTCTCCTTCCCATGCACGGGCTATGACAAGCCTGAAAACTTGGATATACTTGCAACTGATGTATTTTTTAAATTCGTAACATCGTCATTTCACAGGCTACTACTGTACACAAGTTTCTTGTCAATATTATGATTGAAAACGATTCGAGAAGCTTTTTTAACTATTATAACCAGACAATTTAGTTTAAAATTGGAGCCGCTATTTGTTTGGGGTATTTGATTTGTGGTTAACTGACTGTTCTACAAATAACAGCCCCATGCGTGGCATACCCTGGTCATTTCCATCAAAGTCACTGGAAACTGTAGAACCAGCGTACGAAAAACCAACCCATAACATATGTGTGGGTTAAAGCATTGGCAACTGAACTTAGATTTCTCCAGTTTGCGAGCAGCTTAATAATCACAAAGCAACAATTTACAATTTACAAATTTGTTAAATTTATAGAGCCGGCATGCAGAAAACATTAAAAAGCTCTTCTTTGCACCATTTACATATAGTTTTATTTCATACAACAACAAAATAGCGATCTTAAACAGTGCTGCTTACTTGTTACAGGCCGCGGCGGCCTGGCGTTGCGTTATGCGTTCCTCTATCAGCGGACGAAAGTGTCGTATAAGTCCTTGAGGCGGCCAAGAGGCACCATCTCCAAGGGCGCATATGGTATGTCCTTCGATTTGCTTTGTTATCTCCCAGAGCATATCAATCTCGTGTATTTGTGCATCACCTGTGACGAAGCGTTGCATAATCAGGTTGACCCAGTGCAGACCTTCACGGCAGGGCGTGCACTGCCCGCAGCTCTCATGCTTGTAAAATGCTGCCAATCGGGCAATCGCCTTTATGATATCCGTTTCCTTGTTCATTACAATAATGGCGCCTGTGCCGAGCGAGGAGCGTACAGCCATTAGGCCGTCATAATCGTGTATGGCCTTGGCCGCGTCCTCTTTGGGTATGCAGGGCGTGGATGAACCACCTGGAATTATTGCCAACAGGTTGTCCCACCCGCCAAGAACGCCACCAGCATGACGCTCAATTATCTCACGTGTAGGCATTGATAGTTCTTCTTCGACAGTGCAGGGATTCTTCACATGACCCGAAATATTAAATAGCTTCATCCCAGAGTTGCGGGTACGGCCGAAGCTAGCAAACCATTTGCCGCCGCGGCGACAGATAGTCGGTGATACGGCAACGGTCTCCACATTAGTTACAGTAGAGGGACATCCGAAGGCACCCACATCTGCGGGAAATGGGGGCTTGTTTCGTGGCTTTCCAGCTTTACCCTCCAATGATTCAATAAGCGAAGTTTCTTCACCGCAGACGTAGGCGCCGGCCCCACGGTGTATGTATAAATCAAAATCGAATCCAGAACCGCATGCGTTCTTACCCAGATAACCAGCTTTGTAAGCCTCCACGATAGCAAACTGTAGATTGCACGCCTCATTGTAAAACTCACCTCGGACGTAGATGAAACCGGTGTTAGCACCCATGGCGCGACCAGCGATTAGACAACCTTCTACCAACTTGTGGGGCTCATGGCGTAAAATCTCGCGATCTTTGCATGTGCCCGGTTCACCTTCATCGGCATTAACGAGCAGAAATTTGGGCCTGCCATCGGGTGGCCTATTCATAAAGGACCATTTAAGGCCGGAAGGAAAGCCAGCTCCACCGCGACCCCGAAGACCTGAAGTCTTCATCTCGTTAATTATCCATGGCGAATCTTTTTCTAAGATCTCTTTTGTTTTATACCAGTCGCCGCGCTGCATTGCACCTTTTAAGCGCCAGTCATGACGGCCGTATAGATTTGTGAAGATACGATCGGCATCAGCTAACGGACCAAAAGTGGTCTTTGTCTGTGGAGGTGGTGTGCCTGGCGGAGGACCCTTGGGTGGAGGCGGTGGTCCCTTTGCTGGAGGTGCTGGTCCTTTTGCTTGAGGTGGAGATCCCTTTGCTGGAGGTGCTGTCGCCTTTGCTGGAGGTGGAGATCCTGTCGCTGGAGGTGCTGGCCCTTTTGCTTGAGGTGGTAATCCCTTTTCTGGAGGTGGAGATCCAGTTGCTGGAGGTGCTGTCACCTTTGCTGGAGGTGGAGATCCTGTTGCTGGAGGTGCTGGCCCTTTTGCTTGAGGAGGTGATCCCTTTGCTGGAGGTGGAGATCCAGTTGCTGGAGGTGCTGTCACCTTTGCTGGAGGTGGAGATCCAGTTGCTGGAGGTGCTGTCACCTTTGCTGGAGGTGGAGATCCTGTTGCTGGAGGTGCTGTTGTCTTTCCTGACGGTGGAGATCCTTTTGCTGAAGGTGCTGCTCCTTTTGCTGTCCCCTTTGCTGGAGGAATAGACTCCTTTGCTGAAGCTGCTGATCCCTTTCCTTGACATTGTGACTCCTTTGCTGGTGGTGAATCACCAGCTGGTTTTAAATCACTAGAAGTTGAGGAAGGCGGTTTTGGAGATGCTTGCTTGTCAGCTTTCTGGATTTCTTTGTCTTGCTGCCTTTTTTCATTGCAAGTCTCTTCACTATCATCGTCTTTCTTTTTTTCGTTACAAGGCTTTTCATTTCGTTTTTCCTCTTCTTCACTTGGTTCGCCCTTGAGTGGAAAATGTGAAACATATTTCTTTTTAATTGAAATTGGAAATTGATCAGTAGGTTCATCTTTCTTAATTTTCTTTTCTTCAATTTGTCTTGAGGTGTTAACTTTGCGTTCATCTGATAATAGCTCGTCTTTGTCGCGCCATGCTGGCTCTTCCTTATTTCGCGTTGGAGGAAATTTGTTATCAGGATATTTTTTAGGGATTGGAAAGGCACCTTTTGATTCTTCATTTAGTTGCATGGATTCGATCTTTCCTTGTACTTGTGACTTCGGCCCTTCCGATTTGTCTCCTGTTAGTGACACTACTGGTTGACCCTCCCAACTATTTTTGTCACCTTCAACCGTAGACGAACTTTCAGAGCGAAGCGATATAACTGGTGTGTTTTGAATTTCAGGCTTGTGCGAAAGTGGTGTACCAGTTTGAAACATTTTAGGCATTGCTGCTGAAATTTCGACCACCTTTTCAATGGTTTTACGTTTAACTTCCATCAATTTTTGTCGAATACCCGATAGCTCATGTTCACGTTTAACATCTAAAACAACTTTGTCCTTATCATCGTTGACGAAATCTAATAGTTTATTGCCATCAGAGGATGATACATGGGTGGAGTCCTTGCCTTCAGTGCCTGTATTAGATTGTGTACCTTGTATGAGTTGATCCTCAGGATTAGGTGGCTTTTTTTCATCCACAAACGCACGTCGAGTCAACGCGATCCTCCACAGTGTTCTGTTAATACGCAGCTTCTGACAAACTAATAGTGCCATTCTGTTATAGTTGTGTTTTAAATATAATTATTATTTTGTGGCTCACAGCCTTGCCATAGAAAAATATATACATTAAATGTAAAATCTCTTGATTATTAGAACAAAGGTTAAACAAATAATAGGAACAAATAAGTTAAATTTTATTTCTGCTTTTTGTTGTAAGGATATTTGCAGCTGAGGTCGATTTAATAGAAGCATTGGGCAGCTGTAGTTGAGAGAATTTTCGAGTTGTTCGTTCATGAAGGACAGGTTTAATGGGGAATGAGTCTCAGGGTTGAAGCTGGAGAAGTTTCAACGCAGTTTTTCATCGACAATGTTGCTTTAGTTCCCCCAATTTAAAAGCATCCTCCTAAAACTAGGAGTATTTCATTCATAGGTAATTTTGATTCATACTTTGTACTCCCTAAAAGAAAGTATACTTGTAAGAAAAACTCAATATCGATTACTTTATATGATATTTTACCATAACAAGTATTATTTTTGATGTAATAAAAAACTCAGTACATACTAACAAACATATGTATGGCCAGAACGTTGAGCTGTCCCTGGTCGGTTGCAATCATGCGACACACACACACGATAATTATGGGTGTCGCCATATTCATGAGCAACGATGGCATATTCTATGTAGCTCTGTGTGTGAAAATCGCCATTTAAAGAACTTTATGTGGTTGTGTGTGTGGGGGGGACTTGGTTTGAAGTTTTACTTCAATTGAAGTGGAAGTTTGTGCCAACGAACGAAACAGCTAGACTTTTGGGAGTTCATTCCCACTCGCTTGGGGAGTATTTAGTATGTGGTGGCCCGACATAAGTGTTATTTATTGTGTACACTTTTTGTTGTAGCTTCGGCTTAGTACCTAAGACCATTAGCATTTTTTGTTGTGGCACCTTTTTGTTGTGCAAGTGCTATCAAGTTTTATTTTTATAAATTACCTGACATGCAGGTGCGGTATTTGTGTCTGAATAATAGCTTTTAGCCTTCGAATAGAAGTATTTATATTATTTTTTCCACTTATTTAAAAAAGGAACTCTAATTTTCAAACACGCTTAGACGAAATCTGTTCTTTTTTTTTTTGCCCATCCTCTTGTCCAGCAAGTCAAGATTGTTGTAGAGTATTTATTCTGTTTTCGGGATGTATATGTACAAGTAGTGTAACAAGAAATTTTGTTGCGTATTTTCAGCATCATTTTATTTTATTTTATTTCGAAATCACACTCAAGTCTACTAGCATTCACTTAAGGATCCCTATATTTTGTGAAATTTCTGTACAAAGTCTCTCAAGAAGCGATTCGTAAAATGGCAAACATAAAATGAAATTGTACGCATCATAAAAGCAAAGGGAGGCCAAGCAACAACAAAAGTCTAATACCACAACCAACTGACGTATGTATGTACAAAACAAATGCCGGACAAGCTGACCGAAGGACGGACCTCTACCAGCACAAAACTACCACCACCACAAACTCCCTATGCAACACCACAAAGGCGCAACTTGCAACAAATTTGCTGAAATAAGAAGCTTTAGACAATTAATTGAATTTATTGCGTATTTTGTCTGCGTGTTCAAATGTGTGCGTGCCATAAGGAGGGTAATCGGGTGCTAGGGGAGTACGGACTACTATGTTTGTAAACAGAGCTACGGAAGCCCCATAAGCAGCAGGCAGGAAACGTAAAGTAAACGCAGGTGTAAACTATGCAGGTGGGCAGTAATGGTGGACGAGGAGGGCAACCGGTAGTCAGGTTGCGGGAAGGGTACATCGGTAAATAAGTAACAGAAAATGTCTGAAAGTAAACACTGGCAACAGCTTCCGATATACACTGGGATAGATGTATAAATGAGAAGGATAGAAAACCAATCTAGGAAAAATAATACATACATTTCAAAGCCATTCTTACAGATTTACATTATACATTTTCTTACCCTTTTTTTTTTAGAAAAAGCGGAAACTTACATTTCTTTTAGGAAAACTACTGTTCACAAATTAGTTTCCATTCACTTTTTCACGTGAAACCCAATGTTATTTGAAGAAATTCCACTTTATTGGTTTGTCCTAGAACTTTAATTTTCTACGAAATGTGAGAATGAGCATAATAAGTAGGTTGTGTATAAAAATTGGTAAAATTGTAAAAAAAAAACTAACTGAATTTCAACTTTAAAGAAAATTATACAATTTTGATTTATAATTATATTTGTTTAATAATTTGCAATTATATTATTTTTTGCATCTAAGAATATTCAATTTATTGTACATTGCGGGACTACGAAAAGTAATGAGTAGTCGGCCAATATTTTCCACTGTACTAGATTTCTTTTGTCGGACAAGCTGACGGTTCGGCATAGACGTGTCTAGACGAACCGAACACGCGCCAGTTAAAGCAATAACTGTTCGTGTTGTTGCTACATTGAAGAGGCTGGCTCATGCGTGAACTGCGGGCAGTTAAAGTTGAGGTTTATGTGGGCTGTAGAGTGGAGAGCGCCACAAGGTGTGCTTTGAAATTTGTGGCGCCTTTAATTTCTTAAGTCGTTCAAAAAATCAGCCCGAAATGCCAAAAATATCATAATTTATTTATAAACGACAGAATTTTTACCTTTTTAGCAGTTGGTGGGGGCACTGGAAACCCCAACCACCAACCCCCAACATGGTACCTCCCCCAATAGCATGTAAAAACTCAACGTGACGCATTACGTGCAATGCACAGCGTAACGTGCGTAGTGCACACACGTCATTATTAATGCATTTGCACACGTAACGCAATACAATGAGAGAGTGCTGGGACCAGAGTTGGGGGCCTTCAACTTCAACTTGGCTTGGGGGCAGCTTGGCGCTTAATACCGCTCTATGCCCACCTAAGCAATTTAAAGGGTGGTGACCTGTCCGTATGTGGAGGCAGCAGCAGTAATTCCCCTATGCCACTTGTGGCATGGTCTTTTGAACTCTTGAAGTGCGCGCCCGACCCCTCTTCCACCGCAGAAACAAACAGAAAAACAACAAGACGGAGAAAATAAGGAACTTTGGGGCTACAAATCGAGGGAGGACTTTTGGGGGTAGCTTAAGTCGTTCAATTTTATTTATTTGTTTTGTTTTCTTTTCTCTTTTGCTGACCCCCACATACATATGCACACGTAATTTTCCTCAATCCCTCTATGATCTAGCAAAAGTCCATATAAGCTTAGAAAATTCATATTTGCCGGCAAAGCAACATCCCCCCTGTCCACTCCATTTTCTCGAAGATGTTACTCATGTTTTATTTCCTTGTAGTTTTTGTTGCGTCATAAAAATTGATGCGCATTTGGTTTTAATTTACATAAAAAAGGGGTTTTCCACAGCAGCTCGTAAAATGTCATTAGGGAGCATAAAATTACACGAGGTACCCCAAATATTTTAAAGCGTCTCGCATAAAGGAAAGTAAAGTCTCCTCCGGTTTCCTCGCTCGACCTGTCACTCACAGTTTGTCTAGACATTGTCTGGTATGGGCTCGTAAAAATGTGTGTAAAGGTGTTCAGTACATAATATGTATGTGTAGTTTGGCTTACGATGTGGATAGATGAACGGAAGTCAACGCAGTTTGATTTTATCGTAATTTTTATGGCTATATTATGTTGCTACTAGCCAGGCCAGTCCTGTCAAAGGCTTAAATTGGCTTGGCCATGCATTGCAAAGTTGATCCTAGGCTGGAACCAAGGCTTATGTTAGATTGTACCTTGGGAAATGGACAAGTTTAAGCTCCTTAAGCTCTGCCAAACAAATGAGAACGAGCTGCTGACGCAACAACTGAATTTTCATTTGAAAACAAACTGAAATAATTCCCTTAACGACCGCCCACCCATTCAAGAATAAATTCTACAAGGGTTGCTCAATTAAAGTTAATGCAGAAAAATTATGAAATCGACTTTGCAGTGTTACATTTTTTAGAAAATTTCAAATACTTTAGACATTTCACATGTGTATTAAATATAAAATTTGAATTTTTATGAATAACAATTGGTAATGCTAAATATTAGTTAAAATATTGACAATCGGAGGCTACGTTCGACTTGGCATTGCCATTACTTTAAACATAAACTATCATCAATTATTTGTTTATTTTATTAAGTATGCTTATGCTTTAAGAAACTACAGCAATCCATAAATAATATGTGTATTCATTTAAAATAACGATGATATCAATACATGCAAGGCATTCAGATGTTCAAATATTAGATTACAATTATTCATTAACTTTTAATTGATATTAGGTGCAAACTCTAAAACATTAACTATTACAGTCTTAAACTGGAAGCATAATTACTTAATTTCATTCAAAATACTTTCATTGAACATTTAATAGCAGCAATTTAAATATTGCTGGTCAAATGGATATTTTGTTACCCATTAAATAAATAACTATTCATAACTTTATTTATATGTATGTATATGCATTATAGTCGCCTAGTTTTATTTTCTAACTTACACAATATTGCATTCTTTTGAAACACAACTTTGCTTCTTGACAAAGTTTTTCAGTGTTCAACTTTTGTTACCTTTTATAAATAATAATTCTGCCAACACTTTGTTGGCACTTTTTGCACTACTTTTTTTTTTTTTAATAAAAAGTTGGCTGCTGCGTTTAAGCCAACATCGAATAAACCTCCAGCCAGCGCTCTCAACGCCCTCTGCTGTTGGCTGCAGTTGCCACGATGACGTTGATGTGTAGCGCGTAAATTTCCCCAGTGACATAACCGGAAATTTTCCCAACAGCAACTGCACGCACACACACACACACACAAACAGACACATCTCACACTTCGCCGTCCATGAGGCCAAGTGTTGTGCGCGTTAAAAAATATATATATGTATGTTTATATATTTTTCTGCAACCTTTTTGCACATACGAATGACTTTAAACAATTTCCACAACAATTTTTAACGTGCCTGCGCTGCGTATATTCTTTTTTTTTACCATTTTACGGCGCTGTAGGAAATAGGCACTAAAACTCTAAGGGAAATGGTCTCGACAAAATG